TTACTCTTAGTTATTTTCTATTTGTCATCCATAAAAAAGATTAATTTTTTATGTTAATATACTGGGGAAATACCGCCATTGAAGCATTTTATGTTTTTTTGTTTGTTCGTTGTTTAAGAGTTTCATTTATTATTATCAATAGTAAGTAAAATGAAACCAATATCTTCGTTACATATACATAAAAACAAAGTAAGAAATTTTGGTACAAAAGCTGATGCAACAGTTTCCAGAAAACATACTAATGAAAGAAATAAGCAACTATATGCTGTTATAAATTGGTGCAAAGAAATGAATGAGAAGGGACAAGCAGCATTAAAGACTGGTATGTTTCTCTTATTAAAGATAACAGCAGGCGATTAGATGAAAAAGTGACTAATGGACAAGAAAGAAGTTATTGTACTATACTTGCAAAAGATAAAGAGGCATGTGGTGTTCATTTTATAAAAAATAAGAACAGGTCTTTACAATTTTTTGAATGTCACAATTCAAACATTTGTTTTAATTTTAGGTATGCAATAATAGATGTGGTTTAAGAATCTATAAATAATAATACTTGCTTAAAATGATTTTTAATTTTATTTCAAGGCGATATATGTATGTGTTAGGTGATATTTAAATGTACTGGTATTACAGGTTATATAATTTTGACAGAAGCAGCAAATAAAATTCCACAATGGTTACAACATCAGAAAATAGAGTATCAAACCATGAATTGTTCTTGGCAGCATTGTAAGAATTCGATGTTTACTTAAATGAAAAAAATTTTAAATGACCCATCATATTACTGTCAGATGGACATACCTCAAGACCAGACTTTGTTGTTTTATCTTTTCTAAAGTTAAAAAAAATTTGTTTCATTGTCACTCCACCAGACACAACAGAGTTGCTCATTTTCTTGTCCAAGTAAATAAGAACATTCTTAGTGAGTATTGTAAGCAGAAAGACTCTACATTTTCAGATATTGTTCCTTAAACAAAGAAGCTTTTATGTTAGTTCTAGCCAATGGGACAAAGGAATAACTAAAATCTGATAGAAGGGTTGATGTTACTAAAAATTCATTCAGTTTTGAATTTATGAAAAAAAAAAATTGAAAGAGCAGAAAACTGTATTGAAGCAGAGAAACAGTCATCTCTCTTAATTTCTTTGCCTGATAAAAGACGTGGTTCAGCAAGTTACTGGAAATAAAAGTTTGAACAAGCTATGGAACTGATAGATGAACTTCAGGAAAAAGTATCTAGCTGGAAGAAATACCAGGTTTTATGACAATCAAAATAGTCAAGCCTAAATTATCAAAAGAAATGACACATGTTACCCAAGAACATGGTTCAATGACTGCAAACAGTGTACTAATTTTAGTTGAAACCATTAAAAAAAAAACAAAGTAAAAAAGTTGAAAAAATTGGGTACATAAAATGTAAATGTTTTGGCTTAAAGCAGTGTCTGTCTTAATGTTATGAAATCTGTTTCCAGCAAAGAAAATTGCAAGTGAATGGACAAAATCCAGAAATGTTTTTATTAGAAGATAATAGAAAGAAATGATTGGAAATATTTTAATGAGATATTTGTATAGATTTTGTGAAAATTTACTGAAAAAGATTGATTTAGGTTAAATTATTTTTAATGCACCCCAAAAACCACATGTTGAGTTGTACATTAAAAATCTTTTTTACAAGTTTCACTTCTACTTTAAATGCAAATGGTTTGATTTATGTATAAAGTATACAAAAGATAAGTAAACTAGATTGGATTTGCAAATTTAGTCAAAAAGACCACTATTTTATAGAAATTATTCTTAAAAATTTCCAAATTTTTATTCAATTTTTTAAAATTTAAAACGCTTGTAAAAAATTTTCTTTTATTGTTATCTTTGTTTTCTTCTATTTTAATTGTTGCTGGAACATTTTTTTTTTTTTTTTTTTTTTAACATCTTCGCTTCCAACAAGGCTGCAAGCAACCACTAATTAGTGTTGGAAGTTACTGGAGAGAAAAGATGAAGATTGTAGATCAAGATAACAATTGACAGACGAATTTAAAGATTACAAATTATATGAATCAGGAAAGCAAGATGAAGGAAGTGAATTCCAAAGAACTGATGTTCGTGGAAAAAAACTAGACGAATAAGAATTTTTGGAGCACTTAGGAACAGTAACAGAAAAAGGATGAGACTTAGTTGAATGACGAGTAACACGAGAATGAATTTTAGTAGATGGCACAAGAGACGCTAGCTCTTTAGAGCAGTGCCCATTATAGTATTTGTAGAAAAGAGAAAGAGAAGCAACATTACGACGATGTGACAGGTTGAAGGTTGGCTGCAAGAGCAGGTCCAACTATGTTTACAATGCGTTTTTGCACCTTGTCTAAAAGAGAAAGGGCATCATTAGAAGATCCGCCCCAGATATGGCAGCAGTATTCCATACAAGGCCGGATTTGAGATTTATAGAGATAGAGAATAGAATCCAGAGTAAGAAAGTGACAAGCTAGATAAAGAGAAGCGACTTTAGCAGATGCTAATTTTGCAACGGATTTGATATAAGGTTTCCAAGAAAGATCAGAAGTAAGAGTTAATCCTAGAAGATGAAGGGTAGGAGACTCATCGAGTACATTACCGTTCATAAATATAGAAAGGTTTAAATTATTGCGATAACGATTGGCTGAAAAAAATGGAGTTTTATCTGAATTAAAGTTCACCAGCCACTGTGAGCTCCATGCTGTAGCAGAAGTGAGATCCTTTTCAAGCTCAGATGCCCCCTGCAAGCAATCAGAGGGAGTTGGCTTCTTATTGTGACAAGAATAAATGGTAGTATCATCAGCGAACAATGCCACCTTAGATGTGAGAATATCTGGAAGATTGTTAGTGTAAATTAAAAAGAGTATAGGGCCAAGGATTGAACCTTGAGGAACCCCTGAGGTTACAGAATAATAAGAAGAGTGCTGTCCATCAAGGACAACTTTTATACTATGATTGGAAAGGAAGGATTTGATAATCTTAAAGATGTTTCCAGATACACCATAAGAAGAAAGCTTATGGAGAAGACCAGCATGCCAAACTTTATCAAACACCTTAGAAATGTCAAGAATTACAGACTTGCCCTTATTATTGATACTATTAAAGATTCTCCAGAAGTCACGAGAGCCTAATTTTTGTGATGAAATATGAGATTTCATGATCTAAGAATAGCGGGCTTTGGCGTTAGACCTTTTTACAATGGTTCCTAGCAGTAATTAACAGACGTCTGTTTTCTGGAGAATTGTTTTGCTGATAGATATGGAAGTAATGGTTTCGATTAGCAATTGCAGCAGCACAATGTGAGGAAAACTATGGAGAAGAGTGAGGCTTGACCTGGAATCGTTGAGAGGGAATAAAGGATTCCATGCCAGCCTAAATCCATGAAGTTATGTAAGAAGCTTATTTGTCAACAGGAAGACAAAAGATTTCTACCCAGGGGCCGTCACGAAGAAAATCACGGAAAGAGTCCCAGTCAGCTTTAAGGTAGTTGTAAGATGTACAATGATAGAGGGATTCTGATGGTAAAGAAGAATGAGATAATAGTTTTAGAGAGACCAAACCATGATCAGAAGCACCTAAGGGTGAGTGTGGAGAAACTGAGCACTGACTAGGATCAGAAACAAGACATAAGTTGAGTAGAGAAGGTAAATGATTCGAGTTGTCTGGAAAGCGAGTTGACTATTTGAGTTAGGGATTGAAAAGGCAAAAGTTGTGGGTCTTAATGCCTGCAGAGTCACTGACACTTGAGCCAAGCTATTCAGTGTGAAGAACATTAAAGTCACTGACAACAACAATATTGGCTGATGGTTAAAGAATGAGGGCTTGGTCAATATAATCAGAAATAACATCAAGAAGAGTGAAGTCTTGAGATGAAGGAGAGCGATATAGAACAAAGAGAAAGGTGATAGAGTGAAGTGGTGCTAAACGAAAGCATATAAAAGAGTAGTCTGTGGATACAAACCTAGTTTCCCGACAAATGGGTGAATTCTTACGAATGTAAATGCCTAGGCCAAGCATGTGACTATTGGAGTCTTTACGAATTAAAGGAAGATAACCATCAACACTAAGATCACAAGATGAGACAGCTGAACTCAATTAGTCTCACAAAGAGCAAGTAGGTCTGGTGAACTTTTCAAGAGATAAGACTCAACAGTAGAAAAGTTACTTTAAAGACCACGAATATTGGTGAATGATAGGTTTAGCAAACTTGGTGATGACTGTGGTTTTTTGTGTTTTATAGTTTTTGTTACTTTATTCATTTTTAAATTTGTTAAAGAACTTGACTTGAAACATAGATAAAACTCAGTACACTGTTTTATAGTCCAAGCAATTGCCTCATTTCCACTAATAAACCCTAAGCCGTAACAAAGGGCTCCAATGTGGCCTCGGCAATGCACACCAAAAGTACAAACAGGGACACCATCCATGCGCAACATGGCACTGTAAGTACTCTGATATTTTTCAGCTGTTGATGGAATCAGCCTCTCTGAGAGCTACCACAGAGTTCGGGAAACCTGACTACCAGCCGGCCTCAGAACCATAAAACTGAGTTTTAGAGCTGTACCCTCATTTGGAGATAATAGAATGAGTTGCCTAGTCATAAAAACAGAGACACAAGCAAAACCCATGCATCAAGTCAAGAAGATCCAGCATTCAACATCCTAAACTGGAAACAATGTGTTAAAAATACATCTGCGCCAGCCTAATAGATGGAGAAGGGGTGCGAGGCTGGTCAACAGATAGAATCTGTTTACCCCTTAATGTATCAAAATGCCCTTACCCCTCATGTATCAAAAAACTTTTTTTTATGGTTTTAAAATACACTAATCTTTTATTACATATTATTATTTATTAAATATTATATTTAAGTAAATCTCACTTCTTATGTGTATCAAATGTTTTGTATTTATGAAATACTTTTTTTTCTGTTTTTGAAGCCTTTAGCAAATATATTACTCATTTTTTTAAATATTTTACTTAAAATTCTTTCTAGGTGACCAAAATCCTGCATTTGTTAGATTTATGAAAGATAACTATCCACCAGGATTTGAGTATTCTGATTTTGTTACCCTTTGGAAAGGTGAATTTTTTAATGCAACGCAATGGGCAGATCTTGTTGAAGCATCTGGTGCAAAGTAAGATATCGCATTTTCTAAAATTATTTTTAACTTGTAAAGTTTAAAATGAATCTTTTATATAATGTTTAAAATAATTTAATCTTACCTTGAAAATCTTCATTTGAAATTTTACAGGAGTTGCATCCTGACTTTAGTAAACTGGGACATTTTCTAAAATTATTTTTAACTTGTAAAGTTTAAAATGAATCTTTTATATAATGTTTAAAATAATTTAATCTTACCTTGAAAATCTTCATTTGAAATTTTACAGGAGTTGCATCCTGACTTTAGTAAACTGGGACATTTTCTAAAATTATTTTTAACTTGTAAAGTTTAAAATGAATCTTTTATATAATGTTTAAAATAATTTAATCTTACCTTGAAAATCTTCATTTGAAATTTTACAGGAGTTGCATCCTGACTTTAGTAAACTGAGGTGATCACTTCTTTTTGAAAATAAAAATTTTTATATATATGTACATGGTTAAAATAAGGAATTTACAGGTAAAATGTAAAAAAAAAAAGGTATATTAAACAAAAATATGAATTCTTTTTATATGGTAGTATATTTATATGCGTTTGCATTGATAACTCATTATAATAAATAAAGACTAAAAAACAGCAGTCTTATAACTTAGATTTATTTCTCTACAAAAAATAGGCTTTCAGGAAACACAAAGGGTCAAGCAGGTCATCACAAATTTTTGATAGAATTTTTGTAACAAATAATTCTAAATATACTCACGCTGATTCAATACTTTTTGGAGAATTGTTTCCTGAGAATTGAATAAGAGCTTAATGTTTGCTATTCTTTTGCTTTTTGCTTCAAAGATCATAATTTCTTAATCTCTTAAACTTTTAATTTGAGTTGTCTCTGCTTCTTTGCTGAATGTTGAATGACATCTTCTAACTCTTCTTGGAGAGAAAGTTGTTTTTATTGTCTTTGGATCCTTTACTACTCTCCATTTGAGCCAAGATTTCAATGTTTTATGTGTGAAAAAGCCTTTAAAGCAAGCATTTGGCATTTTTCTAAAGAACAGTTTTTGATGGCATGTTAAAATTTTTATTCTCCTCAATCTCAAAAGGCAGTCCAGATTGTACAAATGTTTGTGCAGGCTTGCCAAATAACTATGTTGTCTTTCAGCAAATTGCTTTATAATTGCATCTTTCATTTTGATGTCAAAACTCAATCTTTTCTGTTTGAGTTGGTTAATATATATAGATATAAAGCTATTATATAATTATAAGCTTTTTTTAAAATCATTTTTAAATTTATTTTGAACAGGTATTTTGTTGTAACCAGCAAACATCATGATGGTTTTACACTCTGGCCTTCAAATGTCAGTTGGAATTGGAACTCTGTTGATAATGGACCACATAAAGATATCATAGGCATATATTTGTATATATTTTTAGTTAAAACCTTTTGATAGCTTTATGATTTTCGAGTTTTTTGAAATTCTATTCATACTAAATATTTGTTGTTTAGTAGAATTTCAACTTTCTAAACATTTATTTAATTACCCATTAATTTCAATTTATTTTAAAATAATCTCTCTCTTTATATATATATATATATATATATATATATATATATATATATATATATTATATATATATATATATATATATATATATATATATATATATATATATATATATATATATATATATATATAGAGAGAGAGAGAGAGAGAGAGAGAGAGGCGGTTCTACGAATAAAATGAGCGGGCGTGAATCCTCAAATTGTACTGACTAGCTTCTTTAAAAAAAAAAAGGTCCTCAAACGAAAATATTTAACTGACTGAATTGTGTCAAATAGCCAACTAGCCAACTAAATTCTTAAAAAAAAAGGACTATAACTTGAAAATCACCTTCTTTGGGGGTCTCCTAGCACAAAAACACCCTTCTCCCCCCTTCCCCCATAAATCGCCTCTTTTCCCCCCTTCCCCCATAAAATCGCCTCTGTATATATATATATATATATATATATATATATATATATATATATATATATATATATATATATATATATATATATATATATATGTATATATATATATATATATATATATATATATATATATATATATATATATATATATATATATATATATATATTAGGATGTCCCAAAAATACAACTTTTTTACAGAAATAAAAAGTTCAAAACATATCCTGGTTATATACCCTATATAAAAGAAAAATGCAAAATTTTAGGTCTCTAAATCTTCAGGAAGTGTTAGGTGTAGATTTCCATTTTTCTTCAAAATATCTCATATTTAAATAATAAGACAATCCGAAAAGAAAAAAAGAAAAAAGTTTTTAAAATTTATGTCAACCTGGTACTCAAATGAACGGAAATTATATAAAAATTTCAAAAATAATGTTCATTTCGAAAAAAACGATTTGTACTTAAACAGTACTTTTTTTTTTAATGAAATCGGCGATTTTTTTACAGAAAATTGTTTTTTGTTTTGGCAAATTTTGTATATTTTAAGGGAAATATCGTTACGTATTGTTTTTTTCGAAATGAACATTATTTTAAAAATTTTTATATAATTTCGGTTCATTTGAGTACCAGGTTGACATAATATTTATAAACTTTTTTTTTGAAAATATTAGGGATCCATTAAATATTCGAAGGTCTTGAGGGACCCTTTAAATTATTTTTATTGAAAAAAATTTAAACTTAGTGTTTTTGTATTAGATAGAACACATTAAGGGGGTGAGAGCAGATTATTTTTTAAAAAGTTATTTTTTGGTACACTCTAATATATATATATAAAATGACCAAACTCTTATTATTGTTTTTATTGTTGCAGGTGAGCTGGCGCAAGCAGTTCGTGCTAAAAAATCTATTCATTTTGGTCTCTATTATTCACTTTATGAGTGGTACAATCGTTTATATTTGCTAGACAAATCTAACAATTTCGCAACCCATCATTATGTTGATGTAAGTTTATATACAATTTTTTTTTGTTTATTTTATCTCTCTCCCCCACTCTCTCACTATATATATATATATATATATATTATATATATATATATATATATATATATCAGGCTTGGTCGGGAAGCGGGTGCGATCGCACTCGATAATTGACCATGGAAATTATATTTACTTGCGAAAAGCCGGCCAGATTTTTCAGGCGTTTTGAGAACATTTCAGTTTATGTATGTTTCCTTGTTTGTCCGCTAAATAATAAGTTTATTTTATCGTAAATTTTAAAAGATTTTGTTTTACGGACGTACATGGAAACTTATATAAACTTGAATGTTGTCGAACATCTTAGTGCGGAAAAATAAATAAAGAATATTCGCGAACACAAAAAACCCGCCAAATTTACGAACAACTAATTCTATTGGTTCAATTAATAAATAACTGAAATTACTAAAGAATTCAAGTGACTGTTCTAGAGTATTCTGTTGAATTATTTTTCAAAATTTTTTTGTTTTTGTTTTTGTTATGTTTTCGTTGAGAATTCTAGCATCAATTGTTTAACGAACAATTATTTTAATACAATGGCTCATTCTTGGAGTCACATCCATAAAGCTATAAATGTTTTAAACTAACATTTGTTTACAAAAAAAAAATGTTTTAAATTTATATTTTAAAACATGTCAACGTTTTGTAAATATATTATAGATTTCATTAGTATAATCTTATTTTTTATATATAAGGGATGTATTTATATGTAATGTATTAGAAATTGGTTTATTAACTTAAATTATTTTTGCTTCAGCCATTCTTACAAACTCCTTATACTTACACTTAAAGTTGTTTTTTTTCTGTAAAATACTAGTTAAAGATATAAAGCCCACTCACTAAACATCAGCGATATTGTTAAGCAGTTCCGCTTCCTCCTTACATAGTAATTTAACGTTTTTAGTTAATTTCTATCTAGCTAATTAAATTTCCACAGTAACTCAATGTTTTAGTTATTTCATTTGTTCATCTTACTAAGAAGAATTGTTTCAAATATGTTAAACTTTTCAAACTACGCGAAGCATAAAACAGGTACTGAAAAAACTTTTTTTATTTATAATTAAATTATGTAGCGTTAGTTTTATTGGTTTAATCTTGTTGGACTTTACAGGGCTGGGGGCTGCATAATTATGGTGGCCTTTTTTATGTGCGATAGCGTAATAATGACTTAAAAATAGGTCCTCTTGACTATTTCTCTGCCCATAACATTGTGTGTCCCGGGACTATAGCTCTTCTACCCCCCCCCCCCCCACCTCTTATTTCTAGCACTGGAAATAAGACATAAGTATATAAATAAAAATTATATATAATCTTTGATAAATTGAAGAACATTTGTTTCTTTATTAAACAATCATTATTAGTACGTTGTTACTATATACAAAAAAATGTCGCTTTTTTTTTAAAAAAAAAATTATAAAAGAGCGACGTTTCAAAAATATTTGCTCTAATCGTATTTATTTTGCTTAAAGTTTTGCGTTAAAAGCTATTTTTCTTTTTTTTAACTGTCTCTCATCGGTCCAGTTTATCTTATTGCGCTTTTTTGTTTGTTTTTAAAATGTTCTCAAAACGCCTAAAAAATCTGGCCGGCTTTTCGCAACTAAATATAATTTCCGTGGTCAAATATCGAGTGTGATCGCACCCGCTTCCCGACCAAGCCTGATATATATATATATATATATATATATATATCAGCCTGATATATATATATATATATATCAGGCTGATATATATATATATCAGCCTGATATATATATATATATATATATATATATATATATATATATATATATATATATATATATATATATATATATATATATATCAGCCTGATATATATATATATATCAGCCTGATATATATATATATATATATATATATATATATATATATATATATATATATATATATATATATATATATATATATATATATATATATATATATATATATATATATATATATATATATATATATATATATATATATATATATCGATGGTTAAGAGCACAAAGTGAATACGTCCACTAACCATTGTTTTGAGAAATCTGAATTTGAAAGTTTGAAAACATACAATAATTCATGATATTTATTTATTGTCATGATTTTTAACTAAATGCATTCCTCAATTAATTCTGTCTTGTTTTTTACTATTTTATTTTTATTTCTTTTACATACTTTAATACAATATCTGCGCAATAACTAAAAACCGTAAAATATTGGGCATATTCCCTTTGTGCTCTTAACCATCGATATATATATATATATATATATATATATATATATATATATATATATATATATATATATATATATATATATATATATATATATATATATATATATATATATATATATATATATATATATATATATATATATATATATATATATATATATATATATATATATACAAATTTGAACAATTTTGCATAATATAGCAGTTTTATTTTTTGTAACAGTTTTTAACATATTTGATAACGAGGGTATCAATACTCCCTTGAAATATCGTAAAAATAAATATATTTTTAACAAATAGATATTAAACCATAAAAAGAAGTTTTATTTAAATATTTATACAAATAAAATCTATTGAAGATGTCAACTTTTAATATATATATATATATATATATATATATATATATATATATATATATATATATATATATATATATATATATATATATATATATATATATATATATATATATATATATATTATATATATATATATATATATATATATATATATATATATATATATATATATATATACAGGAGCTGTCAAAAACAGTCTAGAATATACATATATTCTAGACTGTTTTTGACAGCGTCAACCACATTTGGGCCCAAATTAAAACTTGAGGACTTTTTTTTTTTTTTTTTTTTTTTTACGTTTTTATGGCAAATTTTTTTTTTTTTTTTTGCAAAAATGACGCCAATTTTCCGCCCAAATTTTTTTCCTAGAATAGGCCCTGATATATGTATATATATTTGTATGTGTTTATGTATACAAGCCAAATGTGATGTCTGTAAAATAATTTTTTTTAGTACATTATGTCAATATTTAATTTGTATTGTAAAATTTTTCTTGTTGTAATTTGTTTTTTTAACCCTTTCAGTACCAGTGACATGCAATGCGGGTTATGACTAAGGCTTAACAAAAATTTTTCTGACAAACAAAACAAGATCTTATTTGTGAAATTCTGACTAATATTTTTTATTTTATAGCTTTTAAATCAATGATAAAATTTTATTTAAAATTATTTTACTGTATTTTGTCTGGTACTGAAAGGATTGTATTTTGTCTGGTACTGAAAGGGTTAATGACTTACTAATGATCTCTAAATTTAATTGCATTTTTATTTGATTGATAACATGCCAATTTAAGTTGTCTTTGTCATTTAAAAAGTTAAATTTAAGTATGAAATATTTGGTCATATTGAATATTTGAACATCATATTGATGCAGACAAACCTCAGAAGAGGGTTTGTCTACATTAATTTTTTCTTAAGTGTTCTATCAACCAGCTGCAAACAAATCAGCTCCCCAACTTTAATAATCTGTTTTGATATATACAATTTATCAAATTTCCTTAGTCTTAGAAATTTAAATCTACTAAACTGATCTTATCTGCAAAAGCTCTTATTTGCAAAAGTTATTCTGTTAAAAGTCTATTTGCCACACAGCTATTGATGTCACACATCTATTAAAAGAGAAATAACATACCTTCACAGGTTACTTTTCTTTTAATGGATGTGTATTATCAATTAATCAATCAAATCAAAAAAAGTTTATTTAGGAGAGCAGGTAAGTCATTAATATATTTGCTGCAAAGTTTGAGAAGATCCAATTAGATTTTATCCTAAAGTTTAGAACATTCAGTTTTATTTTAAATCAGAAAGAAGATGGAAAAATGTCACTACAGAAGTGGGTTGTGCTTCTGCAGTATCTGCTTTGTATAGGGTCAGGATCCAACTTTTATCTGTGTTCATTGCATCAATAAAGCAGGTGTGGATTTTGAGGAAGATGTTCCCAATGTCATTAGTTCTTTGTTTAGCATCTTATTGACTATAGGAAGATTGAAGATCTAGGTAAGAATGAAAAATTATTGGAAATAATGAGGGTTAAATGATACTAGGATGAATAAAGATTTAGTTATGTGAGAAAGTTATTTTAATTACTAGGAGACAAAATAAGGTATAATGGAAACCTTGAAGGGTAAGAGACTTTAACGCTGCACTTTAACAACACAAAGGAGTGTGCTGTCAAAGTGTTCTTTGGAATTATTACTATTCTCCCAAACATCCTCAACATTCCCTTGCTCTAGTATTTTTGCAGGCAACACATGTTAGAGGTATATATCTTTTATTTTATGGGGGATTTTACTGGTGAAATAGACAAGATGGAGGAGATTATCATGTTTAATTAGAATGTGTTTCAGGTTAGATCATCCTTGTACAACATTGCAAGAAAGACTCAGGAAGTTTGCAAGAGGACATTAACCATAGGAACATTTAAGAGGGGGGATTGTAAGAAGCTTGGCAATTTAGTTGTTTTTTATTTGGGAGAAGATGATTTTTATTAACCTTAAGTCTGAATCATTTTTAAGGAAGCTGAGACTTCTGTTAGAGAGGTGGAAAAGTGGATCAGGGAGATACCTGTCAGACATTTATTATATTTAAAAGGCTTTTTAAGTTAATTAAATGTATCAACAGCTTTGCTGAGATAAATATTTGACTAATCCAGAAGTTTGTTGGAGGCTGCATGCTGGCTGACATAAAGCAAAGCTTTATGCTCATGGTCAGAGACAACAGGTAGAAGCTGAAAAGGACCTGGCTCCCATTGTAATGTTATAAGACATTAATACATAAGTAATCAAACCACAACTTCTATTGTAATGTTATAAGACCTTAAGACTCAAATAACCAAACCGCAAGCTTCTATTGTAATGTTATAAGAATTTATAAATTGATATTTAAACCTTGAAAATTATTTAAATCCTACAATCAAGAGCATCAAAACAAAAAATTTCCTCCTTCAATTTAAGGCACCTTATAACTAAAATAGAATAGAATGAGTTTATGACAGCTTTGGGGGAATACCTACACCCCCTCCCAATTTGGGAAAGCAACTATATAATATAGATGTAGATATATCCATAGATATATATTCACAAGAATTTACAGGTTGTTATAAATATTTTTTTAAACAAGGTAATTTTTCCAAAACAGGAAGTTACATTTACTTCTTAATGACTTCAGGAAGTTACATTTCTTCTGTATTTTTTTAAAACTTAGTTATAAAAAAAGCTTTTTAAAATATGGAACTTATTACACCTCAATATTAAATATACAGAAAAACTAAAATCTAAAATTTTGTATGTGAAAAACAATTTTTAAATAAAGTTTATTTTACATGATAACAACATGGTCAAAAAATATCAGCAAAAAAAAAAAAAGCATTAAAAAAAAAACCTCCACATTTTCTTCATCACTGTGAGAAATGTTATTTTAGTATGCCCTGCAATAGCAGATTTTCTGGTACAATAACTCTGTATAAAGGTACTACCATTTTCCAAGAGACTTTTTAAGCAGTATCATTAACATCAGTAATATTTAATATAAATTTTGATTAAATTTCATTGATTTTATTGGTATATGTAGATAAGAATAAATAAGATTTTATACTATCTGTGAAACTAACGTATTAATAATTTAAGTGCAACACAAAGTATGCTGCTATATACATAGCTTGATTATGCATGAGTTATGTTAGGTGAAATTAAAGATTTAGACGGCAAAAACACAACAAATTAGAACGCAAGATTCATTAGGTCAAATTAAAGATTCACGCAATAATGCAACTGTTTCAAGTATTAAAGTTGAATTTTTGAAATTTTTTTTTATTTTATTCCCACTCAAATATTGTGTTTTTGTTTTCATTTCCTACTGTAGAATGCTATTATTACAGCTGAAAAAATTACAGTTTCTCAAATAACTAAACAGCGGTATTATTGTTTTTATATTGAGATATTTTGTTGTTTATGAGATTTGAAAATTTTTAACTTCACTTAAGTGTGTTTATTGTTTCATATTTTGACTTGAGCCATTTGTCTTTTTTGTTTCATACTTTGGCACTCCTGATTCCTGTTTATGAAGAGACAATCTATGCAAAATAGTAGCCAATAAAGGACATTTAAACAGTTTTAGATAAATAAGAAATCTTTGAACTAAACCTTGCATACTTTCTCCTTTAAATTGTTTTTTGATGCATTATCTGTGTTTCAAAGGTTTTGTTTTGAAATTTAGAGAATTTAGAGAAATAAGAGAAGTTTAATCAGTTTATTTATTTATTTATTTTTTTAGGATATTTTGTTACCACAAATGTATGATCATGTCTTGAGATACCAACCAGAGTATATATGGTCTGATGGAGATTGGGAAGCAAGTTATACCTATTGGAAAAGTGAAAAGTTTCTTGCTTGGTTATATAATGACAGGTGTGATCTCTTATTATTTATAATTAGAATCCAGTTCAAAACCACCCCATTTCAAAACAACCACAGTTCAAAACTACCACAGTTTGGCTCTAATAATACAAAATAATGTCAGTATTTTAAAAAAATTAATTTGAATAAAAAGGCAATTTATATTAATTTATTCTAATTTCTGTATAATTTTAGTGATGATGTAGAGTGTCAAACTTTTGAAAATATTTTTTTTTTTTACAAAAAATTAGCTTTTAACCTTTTTTTTTTAATTTTGATTTAAGAAATTATGTTTTTTTAAAATATATATATATAAATATATATATATATATATATATATATATATATATATATATATATATATATATATATATATATATATATATATATATATATATGCAAATATATTCAGTAAATTAAGTTGTATTTAAAATAAAAAACTAATTTTTAATAAATTAAAACCAAAATTTAATTTTTTTTTTTTTTTTGAATTCAATCCTTTTTTGTTTGTGTTTATGTGTCTTTTTTAAATTTAAATTATCTCAAAAGCATATGCTTTTCCTTATGCACACTGGTTTTCTCAAAATATTTCTCAGAAACTTTTTTTTAATAGTAAAACAATAAGTTAGATTATAAATGATAATTTATGTAATTACTTAGGTAAGTTTCTAATATACGTTGAATTAAAGTTTTTTATTTTTTTATTTGGTTCATTTATTTGTTTTGTTTACTGCACTTCTTTTTATGACAGTCCAGTTCGAGATACTGTTGTGGTAAATGACAGATGGGGAATGGGTACGAATTGCAAACATGGCGATATTAAAACTTGTGGAATTGATCGTTTTAACCCGCGTGAGTATTTCTATCAGTATTTTCTGTCATAAAAAAAAGATTTATTTTCAATATTTACATGTTATGCTTTAAAATTTTATTTCAATGTTTCCAATATTAATAAAAAACCTGTTATATCAAAATTGACATTACAAAAATAATCACCTAAACCAGTATTTAAAATATCCCCTGCATGCTTTTTTGCAAGCTACACTTTTTTTTTTTTTTTTCATTGGTTGAACAAGATTGTTGTAAATTTTAGTTGGAACTATTCTCTAAACCTTTTTCTTGCAATTTTTTTTTTATGGATCTTACTTAGACTTTGACTAATTCTTTGTCTATTTGAGTCAAATAGATTCAATTGAAATCAAATTTGTTAATCAAGCTGTCGAGGGCAATAAATCTTCTTTGGTTGTTTTTATCCATGTTTTGGCATATGAGCTGTGGGATTAGGTCTAATATCTAATATCTTATTGAAACTTACACCGTTTATTTTCATCAATTAGTGTGTCTACTGATGAAAGTTCTCTAGCAGCTCTATTTGTTGGCGTGTTGGTTAATTTTGCCTGTGTGATTGTTACACACATCTACTCTTACTTAATTACAAGCTAAAAATTTAAATATATCAATATTTGATTATCTAAATTTTGTTTTTCACTGATAGAGAATTTTTATTTTAGATTTCAAAATTTCTTATTTTAGATTTATCATTTTATTTTAGATAAACTTCAAAACTTTAAATGGGAAAATGCAATGACTTTAGATCGATATTCTTGGGGGTTTCGAAGAAATGCTGTTCTATCAGATTATTTAACAATTAATGAGTTGTTGCAAACTCTTGTTGAAACAGTTAGGTATAAAATAACTTAAAGTAAAATTAAAATATTACTAGGTCTTTATATTATTAATATTTATTAATATATATATATATATATATATATATATATATATATATATATATATATATATATATATATATATATATATATATATATATATATATATATATATATATATATATATATATAGCTGATAGATATATATGGTTCTCTTGTAAAGTAGGTACTATACCTGTTGTCATTATTTTTTTAATGATGTGTTTATTTGTTAATTTTATTTTTTAGATATGTTTTGAATGTCAATTTAATAACTAATTTTAATTTTATTGAATTAAAAAATAATATTGAATGTTTTAATATTATTAAGTCAAATACTTCTAGCTATGGCGGCAATCTAGTTGTGAATATTGGACCAACGGCAGATGGCCGTATTGTTCCAATATTTCAAGAAAGATTGTTACAAATGGGTAGTTGGTTAAAAGTCAATGGTGAAGCTATATATGAATCTAAAATTTGGAGAGTACAAAATGATTCATCAGCTGAGCGAACATGGTTTGTATATTTTTTTACACAAATGTTTTCAAGCTAAGGGTTTTTACAAATAATATCACACTAAAGAATAATTAAGGACAGTTTTTTAATCTTATAGATTTAAAAAAAAGGAAGTTTTACAACTATTGTTGTTATAAATTATTTTAATATGGAAATTTTATTAAAAATAATTTAAATTTATCAGTTCATAATATTAGTTCAGGCCTCCTCTAGAAGATTTTTTTTTAACTATAATTCCCATTGTTAAGTACCGTAACATTGTAAAGACTAAAAAGTAGAAAATAAAGTATAACAAAAATATTTGCTAAAATATATAATCTTTTTTGAATTAAGAAGTGGAAAACCTTTCAATTTAAATTTGATAGTTAAGTAAACTAAAGGTTGACAGGTTTTGAAATCAGGTTTCGAAATCTTGTGCAAACCTGTCAAACTTTAGTTTACTGAAGTATTAAATTTAAATTAAAATTTTTTTTTCTGCTTTTTAAACAAAAAAGACTATTTAAGCAAATGTTTTTGCTATATTTTTTACAAATTGTTATTATATAAAACATATTAATATAAACATACTATTAGATAAAAAACTTTAAAAAACCGGGTTTTCACTGATTTACTTTAAATATTTTGTTAAAGAATATGCTAAAATAGATTAAAAGAAACTAGCATAGTTTAGTTTTTTAGGTGTATAATGTTTTTAAAGGGTGCAATTTTTCTTTAAGAAACAAGTTTTTACTGATTTATTTTCAAATCTTTTGTTATATTTTTACCATATTGCATAGAAGCGTAACTGTTGATCTGTTTTCAGATGTTTCAACTGGGTCATGCCCAAGATTTATATCATTGTTTATCAACTCTGCCATTATACTCACCATGTAGTTTATTGCTTTGTTAGCTTTCAAAAAATAACTGACCCTGATAGTGAAGTATCTTATAATTTTATCAACATCACTTATCAAGCAAGTCTTTAAAAAATTTAGCAATTTTCAAAAGCTAGATTTAGATAAAGTCTATTCCTAAATATATATGTATTATATTTTATATGTCATATTAATGAACATACCTGGATACACACTGAAATTCCTATTTTAAATAAACTAAATAAACTTCATACTAAAAAAAAATCAGGAAGCTACAGAAAAAAATTAGATAGCTACAAAAAATAGAGCAAATGAAAAAGAAAACTTCAAATTAAAAGTGGTGAAAGTAAAACGAAAGTTTTTTAAACAGCAATAACTGTGAAATTGATGCATAACAAACCTTTTTTCGATGAATTGTTTTGAAGTTTCAATATTCAAGAATGATGAAATTGTTGTTTTATATTTTAACAATTAAAAAAACACTGAGACTCAGTAAACAAATGATATTTTTGTTTTATGTTTTTTTCTTTTAGTATTTATATCATCAAGGATGTATATAGATAAAATTAAAGTAACTGATATGCACCTATATTCTAATAGACCCAATAAACCCATGATTCTAATAGAATGTATTAAGTTTTTATCAATTAAAATCTATTTAAGATGTTTTAGTAAAAAAAAATAATACAAATAATAAAAAAAAATCGCTACCCATTGGATTAGAGTTAAAAATAAAATCATATATTTAAAAATATTCCTAACAGATTTTTAAGATCATAGGTGCATGCTCTCCCTCGTGTCTCTTTTGTGATTTTGTCATTGTCTCCCAAAAAAAATATTTTATATTAATTTTAAGTTGATTGAGCATTTAAAACCTATGTTGAATTGACACATTTCGGCACAAATGGTACTTTTTGTTTGCTCAATAAACTCTGTAGTGTTTTTGGTTTAATAAAATTTTTGACACTTTCTTGGTACTGGATAAAATTGTTTTATTTGTTCGGTAAATTTTTTATTGCTTTATACCGTGTTTAATCATTTATTTTGTTTAAAAAAGTTTCATGTTAAATTTTGAAAAGTTGTATTCACAATAAAGTTTTGATCTTAAAATTTTTCAGCCTGAAAATGTTTTACTATATGAGATTTGTTCAGTTGTTTAAATATAGTTTATTTGTCTATCATTTAGTTTTAATTGTAGGTTACCAACAGTAAAACTAATTAAGGTATCGTAACCAAGAGCCTGCTTTTATAGTCTTAGTCTACGAGTGTAGACTCGCAGACTAATACCTGAAATGAAATATTGAAATGAAATAAAAAGATTTCAAGACAATTCTCTGTGTGTGAGTTTTTGTGAGCCTCAGTCTATGTATTACAACTATGTGAGTCTCAGTGTGTGTGTGAGTCTATGTATGTGTCTATGTGAACCTCAATCTACAGTCTCTTGCAAAAGTTTAAAATCAGTTTAGTATTTTTTAGGTAAATTCATAATTTATTGAAAATTGAATTTATATTATAAACATACATGTGAATCTCTGTGTGAAGCTTTTTTTGTGTGTGTAATATATTTTTATTAGTTTATACAAAATATTTGATTTCTAAAAAGTGGCTGATTTATATTTTTTAAATAACTATAAACAACTAAAATATTTTTTTTATTAAATAATATTATAAAACAAAATAAAAATTTATTTAAACGACTACTTGTTCAAAAAAAATATAGGTTTACACAAAAGTCGTCGAATGTTTATGCAATTATATTGGACTGGCCTACCGATGGATATGTTCGACTTTACAACCCAATCCCTACTTACAAAACTGTTGTTACGCTACTAGGCATAAATGAGAAGTTAAATTGGAAATTAATGTTTGATAAACAAGGACTAATCATTGATGTCCGTTCAATAACGCATTCTCAACTACCCTGCCAATGGGCTTGGACTTTTAAGTTGGTTGGCGTAAATTAATTTTTTTAATTACAATCATCAACTTAACACATTGGAATTTCTATTAATGGAAAAAAACAACTTACTTTTATATGGTTAACGTAATTCACTTGATTAACGTATTCAATCGTTGGGTATTTATATGATTAACGTAATTCGCTTTTCACGTGGTTTTTATGCTGTTTTGTTATATGTTACTAGTGCTTTTGTTTTATACTATTTTTTAATTAGTTTTCGCAGTTATTTTTCATTACAAATTTATTTTTAGATTTTTTTCTCATGATTTAATAACTGTGTTTTTAAATTTTATAATTATAATAGGGAAAGTGGGGGACTATTATGATGTCTCTTTTTTTCTTTGATTCATTTTTTAAAAACTAATTTCATTTATATTTCATCACTTTTTTTGCCTACACTAAACATTGGTTTTGATGCAATTTTACACGGAACATTTGTTTTTATGCAGTTTTACACGAAACATTTGTTTTGATGCAGTTATATAAATAATTATTATAATTAGAATTTCTAGTTTCGATATGTTCTATTTAATTATTATTAGGTAATGAACGATGTACAAATATGGTTAATGCATATGTCAATTTTAAGCTAAATTTTTTCTTTAACTAAAAGTTAAGTTACTAAAATCGATCGCTTTAGATCATTTTTATATTCCACGGAAACAAAATTTCAAAGGAAAAAATGTGATTACTTAAAATCTTTAACAGTCTACTAACAGAAGAATCAAGAACTTTAGTTGACTGCAAAGAAGAAAAAAAAACTCAATTTTTTAACTATGACCATGTTGTCTTATTAACTATGACTATGTTGTCTTATTTTGTGAATTCATATCTATTGTGTTTTGTGACGTCATATCTTTTGTGTTTTTTTTTTTTTTTTAATTCTCTTAATTATTTCATCTTATACATTAAAACTTATTTAATTCTTTATCTACCGAATTGTATACTTGTTGTATTTAAATGTTTGTTTCAATTCTCAAATTAATTAATGTACGCGGTTCCCCACTTTTCCCTGCATTAGATGTTATTAAATACGTTTGATTGGGTTAGTTTTTTTATCTTAGTTTTTTTTTTTTTAATGATTGTAATTTTTTATATAAGTTTTTATTAAAGTCTTTTTTTACCACATTGTTAATATTATCCTAATAACTTTGGTTTTTCACGTTTTCAAAAACAAAAATTTATCAATCAGTTATTTTATTCATAACCTGATTATTTATGATTCCCTTCCTTAAAGTTAAACTAATTTTGTTTCCCTAAATTAAGATTATCTTTTATATGAAAACTTGAAGACTACTGAAATCAGTTAATTTTTTTTTTTTTTTTTTTTTATGAATTGTTATTAAAAATGAAACTACGAAGCTAAAAATGAATCAACTGTGCGGATGTGGCGCAGTGGTTAGAGCGCTTGCTTTATAAGATCCAGGTTCGAAAAAAGCTTTGGACATTTTTGCGTCACGGTAAGGAAGGAGGCTTGAACTTCCTGGTTAAATGCACTTCCGCGGTGCTCTGTGACGAGACCGTTACTTGGGGCGCCTAAATAACAAAAAAAAAATCAAAACGCACTTGGCACCTATAAAAAACGCACTTGGCACCTATAAAAAATGACTGGAAAAAAAAAGTGAGTCCAAGAAGTATAACTAATATACTAAAAAAACCTTATAAATTTTTAAAAAAAGCTTTATAATTTAATCTGATTCAAATGAAATTTCAAATTCGGACTTATCAAAATGATCTTTATCTCGTTAATATACCATCTAAATACATCTCGTTAATATACCAAATTTTTTTTTTTTAGTACTTTTCGAGTTTTTTCTTTAGTACTTATTTTTAATTTTTAGTATAGTTTTTTTTTTATAGTTTTTATTATAGTTTCTACAGTACTTATTTTTAGTTTTTAGTATAGTTTTTTTTTATAGTTTTTAGTATAGTTTCTACAGTACTTATTTTTAGTTTTTAGTATAGTTTTTTTTTATAGTTTTTAGTATAGTTTCTACAGTACTTATTTTTAGTATAGTTAGAACTTTTCTTTAGTACTTATCGATATAGGTATTTGTTTTATTAAAATATTTTTCAAACAAAAATTTGAAGAGTTTGATAAATATTTCGAATTTTAAATAAATAAAGCAATTGGTGCAGATAAAATATTTGATTGTTTGAAATATTCTTTTGCAACAGACAATTAAAACTTTTTAGAGTGTCCATTTATCAAAAAGTTTTCCTTAAACGTTAACCCTATCTTTAACGAAGTCGATAAACTCAAAACCGGTTAATATCTCTGTTCTATATATAATTTCAAAAATTAAGAAAGACTTATGTTCAACATACTATACAACTATTTTAGCTACAACAACTTATATAACAGTCAATTTGGCTTTCAAAAGTAATTGACATGTTTAACTAAACATGTCGTTATTCAACTTGTATATAAATCTCTAAATCTCTTTTGATAGTCTCAAAATACATTGTTTAATGGCTTTTTGTACAAATTTACCGAAACCAAAAATCAGTTTCGTTTCTTATAAAACAGCAGCCGTATTCTTATCCCTCCGTTAAACCCTGTGGTAAGTTATCGGCTGGTTAAAAGCAAAACGGCAGTTTTTAACACCAGCGATAAAATGAACTCGTATTCTAATGTCTCCGTTTAGTTAACGACAGGAGAAAATTTAGTTATCGGAAGGCTGTTAACGCCAAAATCTAACCCTGCTTAGCCCTTCTGTTAAAACTTCTATCGGAGAAATTTTTTTTTATATTAAGAAAAATAAAAAATGGTATCCAAACAAAACAAGCTTATTGAGTTTTTCTCATTAATAACTGTTAGATAAACTGTTTATTATTAGTTGTACTATAAATAAATAAGTTTACTTCTATGCTAAATTAAAGCTTTATTATATAAAAATATATGTTATAAAATAAATTATATTTTAAATTATAAAATTTTTTAAAATATAAGATATATTATAATATAAAATATATTATATTTTATGCTAAATAAGCTTTATTATATAAAAACTGTAATATATTTTAATTAGACATTTATTGTATTTTATAATGAATACATTCATTTATCATGAAATCAAATGAATTTTGTTTAATAGTATTTACTATTACGAGCGCATATATATATATATATATATATATATATATATATATATATATATATATATATATATATATATATATATATATATATATTTTTCTGATTAACATCGTATAATATTATTACAATGCACGTATACATATGGAATCTCATAAAATAGAATATAAAAGTATATACATTACAACAAAATTAAGTTAAATCAGATAGGGGCCAAAGAATATAAGGATAACATTACGTTATCGCAATCTTTTCATAGAACCCCTAGGTACAAGTTTAAATAAAATAACGTTAGAATAAATAGCTCGTATAAAAATTGCCAATTTTGTCTTGCCTATCGTGCACCGCACCTATGGAATAAACTTGTTTTACCTAATGTTGATTTTGATCGACCAAATTCTTTTTGTCTTTTTAAAAACAAAATTAAAAATCTAATTTTTTCCCTCGATAACATTTTAGAGTACTATTAATTAATTTATCTATTATTTAAATTTTTAATATTTTTTCCCTAAAGTTTTGTTGTTAACAACTATTTATATTTAAAGATTTGCTAATGTAAAAGTTCTATATATATATTTTACTTTACTGTAACGTATACTTTACAAGGTATTCGTAAATTATATTGATTATAAATGTTTTTTAAGGTTCCGATGATAAGATCTTAATGATCTTCTTTCGGAAACCTAGTTTACACTGTTATCACGATTTGTATATATATATTTGTAAAGTAATTTTAATAGTTTATTGTATTGTAAAGCGACTAACTTTGTAAGCTGAAAAAAAAAAAAAAAAAAAAAAAAAAATATAATAATAACAATTTTATCATTAAAAAGTCTAGACAAGGTTAAATTAATCAAAAAAGTAAAAAGAAAAAACTTTATCTTAAGTTCAAATTTTAAAAATTTCTTTTTTTAATTAAAACTTAAATGAGTTTAAAGACTTCACCATAAATTTAAATTCCTTTTGACAGTCATTTCATAATTTAAGTCCTCGATAAGATATACAAAATTCTGAGAGTTTATTACATTTCCGAGGCAATTTAAAGTTTTTATTTTTATTTGATCTTAGACCATACTTTTCATTTGAATTTATTTCAAACTTATTTTTGAAGTTTGCTGGCAAGAGGTTGTTTAGTATCTATACATAAAAATTAGATGCTGATAAATATTTATTTCAAATATATCCATCATTTTCATATCTCTCATAAGAGGTTTTGCATGTTCACGTTTATGTTTACAGTATATAATAGGGCAAGCGTGTTTTTGGAGCCTATAAACTTTTTGAAGTTTTGAAGTTTGCGTACTTGCCCATGATATATTTGCATAATTAATAAAACAGTGTATCAGTCCAAAGTATATTAATTTGAGACTTAACATATTGACGTATGGTCTAACCCTAGACATTACGCCTATAGTTTTGGCAACTTTTGAATGTATGTAATTTATATGGGGAAGCCAGGATAAATTTTCATCGACAAGGATTCCGAGGAATTTAATACTTGCTTGCTTTTTAATTATTGTATCATTTAAGTACAGTTCGCGCAATTTAAGAGGAATGTTTAATTCTTGTGTTTTTTTATGGAATAGAGTATAGTTGGTTTTCTTAACATTAAGTGTAAGTTTGTTAGCTTTAAACCAACTATTTACTTTATTCAATTCTATGTTCATATCTGTATAAAGATGTTTAATATGATTATTGGTAAGAAATAAATTAGTATCGTCTGCAAACAGCATTGTACAACTTGCACCATTAATCACAACTGGATTAACAGTATTCTGTATATCGCAAACAAAATGGGTGCTATTGGTTTCCACCCCTTCCAAACCTAAAAATATTGGAGAATTTTCTCCGTATATATCCAATATTTTCTGGTTGATTTCTGTTAAAATTACTGCTGGTCCTCCCCCCGTCGGAATTTTTTGTTGTTGATGAAATCTCTTTTTTGGCATTTTTAAGAAGATTATCCCATAAACCTTTCACACTGGTAACTATGGTAACTGTTCTTTTATCAAACCCTAAGCTGTTTACAGCATCGTTGATGCAAAATACACACAAGTACGAAAATTTATAATGCTGCCTAAACTAATTTTTTTATTCAACATATATAATATAAAGGATTACCTCATTCCATATACAATTTCTTCGTTTATTTATCTCCGCCTTTCTATCTTTAGACAAAAGAACATCTTTATGTTCTTCAAACTTTGAAATTACCAACCATTTCTCTTCTGAGACATACACTTTCCTCTGGCTGCACGTTTTTTCTCAACTTTCATAGTTGATACTGCCATTGTTTAAAAAAAAATTTCTAACTTATAATCTGTATAATAATATGCTAATAACTTATATATAGGATACTAATAATTGTTTGATTAAAATAAATATTTTTAAACAGTGTTATAAATTTGTAATGTCATTAAAATAAAGTATTAAGTGTCTTATGCTTTAGTCTAGACTTATTTTTAATGAATAGTGAAACATTTTAAAGATTGCCTAGGGTAACAAGTGTTAATTACTATGATGGTATTTGTGAAACATTGCCAGGAAATTATTTTTTGTGACAAGTCTGTGTCGCAGGTTATTGTTTGTTGCAATAACACGTATATGGTCTAATTAAAATAAAACTGAAAGTAGTAAGAATAGAAAATATTCAATTACAATGCCTCGACTCGTTCTTATGCATTTAGTTTTCCCAGAAGACGTCAAGAAATACCAGTCCGGCGAGGTCTAAGACGTGAAAGGTTATTTAGAGACCGAACCAACCCACTTGATATTTATGATAATGTTGATTTATATCAAAGGCTTAGGTTTCGTTGAGCTTCTATTTTCTATTTGGAAAATTTGCTGAAAACAGATTTACAAACAAAGTCAAATCAAAGTTTTAGTGTTCCGCCAATCTATCAAGTATTATGCGTACTTCCATTTTATGCAACAGGATCTTTCCAGATTGTGATTGGTGATTCTAAAGCATCTTTAAGTCCACCAACTATTTCTAAAATTATTTGCCGAGTTTCTTTGAGTCTTGCAAAAAGAGTTAATGAATACATATAGTTAATGAATAATAATTTTGCGACATTTCGGACAATAAGTT